TCCTTTCCCATCTTCTTCACCTTGCCTCTCATTCCCACCCAAATTTTATATCCTGCCTCAAGGAACTGTTTCATTCAAGAGGCTTTGCATGTGCTGCTCCTTCTATCAGGAATTCTTTCTTTCCCACTTCCTCTTTTTTGTCTAACCTCATAGAAGAAGCTCCCTCTGGCTCAAGGGTTTTCTGTACATCCTGTGTGTTCCCATAACACCTTTAATCATAGCATTTGCCATACTGTATTAGAATTTTGTTTTGCTTGCCATAGAATAAGATTGAATTGAGACTCTGTCCGTGCTCCGCACGCCTAGCACAGGAATCTGGCATGTATAAGGTGTTTTTTGAAAGTTGTCAGTGGTAAAGTTAACTTTAGAAGCAAAGGTGCAGACACCAGTACACAGGTCTAAGTCACACAGGTTTTGTCCTTTTAAGTGTTTGCTGTTGTTAGGTGCCATTGAGTTGTTTCTGACTCATAGTGACCCTGTGCACAGCATAATGAAACACTGCCCAATCCTGCGCAAGCTCCATAATCCTTGCTATACTTTAGCCCGTTGTTGCAGTCACTGTGTCAATCCATCTCATTGAGGGCCTTCCCCTCATTTGTCGACTCTCCACCTTACGAAGCATGACATCCTTCTCCAGGGAATGGCCCCTTCTGACAACATGACCAAAGTAGGTGAGACGAGGTCTGGCCATTCTCACCTCCAAAGAGGATTTCAGTGGTACTTCCTCCAGGACAGATCTGTTAGTTCCTTTAGCAGTCCATGGTACTTTCAGTATTCTTCGCCAGCACCACAACTCAAAAGCATCAAGTCTTCTTCGGTCTTCCTTATTCATTGTCCAGCTCTCACATGCATATGAGGCAATTGAAAATATCATGGCTTGTGTCAGGCGCACCTTAGTCCTCAAGGAGATGTCTTTGCTCCTCAGCACTTGAAAGAGGTCCTTTGCAGCTGACTTGCCCAGTGCTATATGTCAGCTAATGTGCTGACTGCTGTCTCCATTGGCATCAATTGTAGAACCAAGCAATGTGAATTCTTTGACAGCCTCAATCTTTTCTCCGTTTATCATGATGCTGCTTGTAGGTCCAGTTGTGAGGATTTTTGTTTTCTTTATATTGAGATGTAATCCATACTACAGACTGTATTCTTCAATCGTCATCAGTAAGTGCCTCAAGTCATTCTCACTTTCAGCAAGCAAAGTTGTGTCATCAGTGTATCACAGGTTGTTAATGATTCTTCCTCCAATCTTGATGCCACTTTTTTCTTCATATAGTCCACCTTCTTGTATTATTTGCTCAGCATATAGATTGAATAAGTGTGGGGAAAGGATACAACCCTGACACATTCCCTTCTTGATTTTAAACCATGCAGTGTCCCCTAGTTCTGTTCAACAATAGCCTCCTGGTCATGGTACAGGTTCCTCATGAGTACAAT